CCCTACTGTGTGCTGCCTGCTTCAGGGGTCTCTGCCCTACTGTGTGCCGCCTGCTTCCATGCAAGGTTGGCAAGACTTGAGCATCTTCCTTCTAGCGGCTGCCTCAGTAGTGACGTTGCTCTTGGAAATCAGGATCTGCTTCCACCCCTCTGGCGCCCATCACCATTCAAACCTGGCCATCGCTGCCCGATAGGTGCCCTATCCTTCATGCTGATGAAGCTCCCTAGAGGTCAGGGACTGCCCTTCACACTGAGCACATTGCTTGGCACATAGTAAGTGGCTTAGCATTCCCCCCCTTCCAAGCTCCTGGCATCATTTTCATCCTTTTGAAATTATTTTCTACATTTGCAAAAATTAAATTAAATTTAATTTTAAAATGTCCTTTTAGTGATAGGTAGCTTCTACTCGGCCCTAGAGGGCAGATCCAGGGGCCAAGGGGTGGATGTTATAAAAATCAGCGTGATCTTAGTGAAGAACTTCCTACCAATGAAAGAGAGCCATCCCAGTATGGGCCAGGTCGCCTCGGGAGGGGATGAGCTCCCCGTCACTGAAGGGCTGCAAGGCGAGGCAGGGGGACCCCTAGAGGGCTGTGTTGTTAGGGAATTCTGGATCAGCTACAGTTTGGACAAGGCCATCTGGTGTCCCCAACTCAGTTGTTCTTTGGTTCTACGAAGTGGTTTTGTAGCCATTTAGAGACCCTGACTTAACAATCATAACCATGGTTGACTCCCTTGGCCTCAGTTTCTTCATCTACCAAATGGGCCAGCAGGGCTAAGTGAGCCCAGAGGGAAGGAGAGGAACAAGCCTTATTAAGCACCTGCTGTTCACCAGGTACTGCACTGTGATAAGCATTTAACGAATGGCCCCTCACTTGATCCCCAACCCTGGAGCATGTGGGGCGAGAGACTCAGTGCTGAACCCTGCGGTCTCGCCAGTGTGGGAGCCCATACACCACTGCCCTTCCAAAGCTTTATTGAAGCTGGCCTTCTCTTTGGGAGGCTCCAGGGCACTGAAGAGCTGTGTCCCTTCCTCTGGATCACACAGCTGGTCTGTGTTAGAAGTCAGACTGAGCCCTGGGCCCATGATGCCTCCCTGAGTCCATACAAAGTCACAGTGGTGGCACTGGGATGATCATGGGGGAGGGGACCCAGGAACTGAGCCTTCAGAGAAGCAGAGGATTCCCAGGGGCACAGCTGAGGAGCCATGGCACAGCAAGCCGGCCCATTGGGCTGGAACCTGAGAACGCCCCAACGGGTGTAAAAGCCACGCACTGAACCTGGGGAGGTCTGCAGAGCCAGCACGGGAAGGGCTTTCGATGCCAAACCCAGGAGGTTGGAGACAGAGCTGCCCTCTGAGGTGCGGTCCAGCTCTCACCCAGGAGCCTGGGAATTCAGTGGTTTCTCTTCTTCAATGGAGGTTGGCAAAAGTCAGCTTGACTCAGTTTTTTTTTTTTCTGAATAATGTGTGAAGTTGCTGGTGTCTGCCAACTTTACCTGCCCCCCCTTCCCCTGTCCTGGGCCAGGAGTGAGTCTGGGATGGGGAGAAGGGTGGGGGCATAGGGGAGGGGGCCCCAGGATGTAAGGGGGGGAAGCTTATCCCTGTCCAAGAAGCTGGGCTTTTCTGCCTGTGATCTGTTTGCCCAAGAAACTGAAGCAAAGTCTCTTGGAGTCAAAGAAATTTCAGCATGGATGGTGAGATGGGCCCGGCCACTGGAGATGCTGAGCCAGTGTTTTCTTTCTACATCACCTCAGTTGTAGAATAAAAGAGATCCTTTCTGTGGAGCTCATTAAAGCTGAAACTCAGAACAAAACCTCGGGGAGGAAAAGAAACAAGGAAGGAAAAGGAGGAGCCAAGATACACAGAGTCTGGGGGCACGTGGGGTGACCTCGTGAGGCCGTGGGGTGCAGCCACCAGGTGCTCCCTGAGCAGTGACCGCTTCTGCTCATTCTTTTAGGCGATCAGAAGCAAAGCTAACATTTATGCTGCACTTATAAGTTGTGCAAAGTATTTTGTGTGTGCAAGCTCACGTGAGCCGTGTAATAAACAACCCTGTGAGGGTTGACAGCTGAGGACACTGAGGCTCAGAGGTTAAGTGACTTGCCTGGGGTCACCCAGCTCCTAAGTGTCTGAGGCAGGACCGCAGTGTAGGTCTTCTTCACCCCAAGTGTGGTAGGTAGCCCAGCTGAGACTTTCGCTTACCTTGGAGAGAAGAGAAGAGGCCAATATCTCCATCCCCCAGCACCCCCTTCACCAGTGCCTTATGGCAAAGACAACAGGAATGATGTCAGATACGAAGGCCCAAGGTGTGGGAGTGCCCTGCCCCACCCTGAATGACCAGTGGAAAGAGGGGTCTAAGTTCAAGATTGCTCCGAAGGCTGAAACAATTATTAGGTAGTTCATGATGGGTAGACCACCAGCTCCAGAGGGAGCTGGCTAACATGTGACCTTGGGCAAGTCACTAAACTTTTCTCAGCCTCAGTTTCCCCATCTGTAAAATGGAAAAGAGAATAGCACCTGCCTCACAAAGTTGTTATGAGAATCAAATGAGAGTCTGTTAAGTGTTCCACAAACCTTGGAGCTCTGTGGAAATGTCATCAACTGATAATAATAATTAACAGTAAAGGTAAACAGCTGTCAGCTGTGGTGGAGCAGAGGTCCAGCCCCAGAGTCAGGAAGCCCCGATGTCCGTTGGTGGGTGATTCTTCACACGCCAGTCCTCAGTAAATTCTCGGCCTCTTGTCGCCCCTCATGACCATCTGCACCGATAGGGAGAAGGTCCCGAAAGTGATAACACACAGGCTTGCCCCAGGCCCACTGAAGCTGTCACGTAGTCTGTGGATTGTCCTCCATGGTTTCCTGCAGTTTCCTTGTGCTCGTCCTCACCTGTCCTCAGCATCATAGACAACAAGTGGAGTGTCTGCGGCCAGGCCATTTTGTCGGGAGGGGTTCAGAAGAGGGCCAAGGTGAGAGTAAAGCAGGGAGAGGGGCATGTCCAATGAGGTGCCCCCATCCAAGGTCAGCTCTTGGCTAGTAGTGTGAAGGCTGGGCTCCCTTCTGGTCCTGCTCCTCATCCTCCCTTCCCATCTCCGGCTGATACTGATTCTGGTACCTCATCCCATCATCGAAGGGGACGGTAGAGGAGGAAGGCTCTAAGGGCTGGAGGGTTCCCCGCCCTGCCCGGCCCCGCCGTGCTGGGGTGATAATGCTCATGTCTCCTTCCCATCTTTCTGCAGCATGGAGATGTGTGACCAGCGTAACAACATCACCATGTGCCCCCTGTGTGACCGGACATGCAGCTACTGGAAACTGAGCTCAGCCTGTGCCACCGCTCGAGCCAGTCACTTCTTTGACAACCCAGCCACGGTCTTCTTCTCCGTCTTCATGGCCCTGTGGGGTAAGTAGGTCCTGGGCCTAGCCTCAATCTGGGTCCTTGGAGGAACCCCAGGGTAAGCATCCTGCTGAGGGCAGGGCTACGTCGGTTTGCCTTGGTGGGAGGGGGCCACGGCATTTCATCTTGTTTCTCTCCTCCTGAAATGACCCACATGAGGCCTTTGCCTCTGATGACAATGAGGGACGCTGGTAGGGGCTTACTGACATGTCTAGGAGGGGCTTACATATGGTTTGGGGGGAAATTGTTTGTAGTCGGAAGACCTAGGTTCTAATCCCAGCTCAGCCCCACACTATCTGTGTGACCTTGGGTGAATCCCTTTAGTGTCTTCCTGGGCCTCAGTTTCCTCATCTGTCAAATGAGAAGTTGGGCCAAATGACCTGGGTAGTCCCTCTGTTCTAAGTCTGTGGTCCTATGAACTATGCTCAAAGCACAGCCTGCTTGGAACCTCTAGGGCTGGGGGAGGGCTGAGCCACATCTCCCACTTGAGGGACCCTGGGCCACTAATCAATGCCCCTCCCCAGCCTCTGTCCACCAGCCTGCACAGAGGGCACCTCTCATCCTCAGGATCTTGGGCACAGGGCAGGGGATGGGAGGGAGCCCCCAAGGCCTGATCTCTGTGGCCCCACGTCAGCAGTCACTGTCAGAGAAGGACCGCTGCTGCAGTGCTCAGGAGCTATTAAAGCAAGCTCTCAGGGCTGGCCGGGACCTGGGAAATCTCCTGGCTGTTTGTGTAGCCAAGGCCACCAAGGCCCAGAGATGGGAAGGTGTGGTGGCACCTCCACGCCATCCTATGGAATGATGGTGAATTGTAGCTGTTTGTGCCAGAAATCCCACACAGCTCAAGTCTCTAATTATTCAGAGTGTTGGATGATGTTAAAACACACACACACACAACGAGCCCCATCGCTCGAGACCCTCCAGTCCTCAGGATCGTTGGCTGCCCTATCTTCTCCGTGTCACGTTAATAAATGGGGCAGTGCTCTTTGTGGATGGCTTAAAAAGTTCAAGGTCATTCAGAAGTCATACAGTTCTAAAGTAATCTAAAAAACGTTCAGTGGCAAGGAAGGGAAAGGATAGCTGCTACACTCAGGAGGGAGGACAGGCCATCGTCCCATGGGTGTGCAACAGAGGCATCTGTGATGAGAGGCATGAAATATTGACACTGTGAAGTGTGAGGTGTATTGAGTCAGTGGGCCTGGTCTGGGAGGGCCAGAATTTCTGTTCTGGAAGGCGCTGTGAAAGACCCATGTCTGTCAGTCTAAGCACTTACTGTGTCTTTGTATTAAGGATGTATTAATCACCTACTATGTGCTGGGCTAAGTTCTGGGGATATACAGAAAAGCTAAAAGACTCCCTCAGGGAGTTCACAGTCTAAAGGGGGAGGCTACATATAAATAATGTTGTGCGTACAAAATACATACAGTGTAAAGTGAGGTGATCTCTTGGGAGTGGCTGGGAAGGGCTTCCTGGAATAGGCGTCACTGAAGTTGGGTCTTGAAGGAGACCAGGAGGTTGTGAAAAGCCATAAATGCCAAATAGGACTTTATGTCTGATTCTAGAGATAATAGGAACCCACTGAAGGTCACTGAGGTGGTGTGTGTGTGTGTTTGCGTGTGTGTTTGCGTGTGTGTGTGTGTGCGTGTGCGTGTGTGTGTGTGTGTGTGTGTGACTTGGTCAGACCTGTGATTTGTGAAGATCGCTGGGAACTGGACTGGAGCAGACAGAGACCCACCTGGCCGCTATTGCAATAATATAATCCCTGTACAAGGTGACAGGAGCCTGTGTGAATGGAGAGAAGGGCTATCTGTGAAAGATGCTGCAAAGGTAGAAAACACAGGATCTAGCACCAGACTGGATGTGTAAAACCAGTGTGAGAGAGAAGTTGGAGGTGAGCCACCCTGGTGACTTAGGAAGATGGCGGGCCCTCCACAAGAATAGACAGCTTTGGAAGAGGGAAGGGTTGGCAGCAGCAGGGAGGGAGGGGCCGGCTGGGAAGAGATAATGAGTTCAGTTTTAGACTTGTTGAGTTTGAGGTGCCAACACCCAGTGTCGTGCTTCCAATTTCCTATATCCAAGAAGTAGTTAGTGACATGTGACTCCAGATCAGGTGGGTTAAGGCTAGACATGAATATTGAAATCATAGAGATGATCATTGGATCCTCAGGGCTGATGAGATCACCAAGTGGAATAATATGGAGGGAGAAGAGAAGTGGGCCTGATAGAAACTTGGGGGCCATCCATGGTTAATAAGCATGACCTAGATGAAAAAGTGGCAGAGGAGACTGAGGGTGGTCACACAGGGAAGAGGAGAACCAGGAGACAACCTCGTGACCCAAATCAGAAGAGGGCCGAGCATGTCGGGAACAGAAGGCAATCTCCAGTGTCGAAGGCTGCTGATAGGAAGTTTGAGAAAGGGCCATGGAGAGATCATGGGAACTATTTTTTTTTATTTTTTTTTTTTAGGCAATTGGGGCTAAGTGACTTGCCCAGGGTCACACAGCTAGTGAGTTTCAAATGTTTAGTCTGAGGCTGGATTTGAACTCAGGTCCTCCTGACTTCAGGGCTGGTGCTCTATCCACTGTGCCACCTAGCTACCCCTTTAATTATTATTATTATTATTTTTTTGGATAGGCAATGGGGTAAGTGACTTGCCCAGGGTCACACAGCTAGTAAGTGTTATATGTCTGAAGCCAGATTTGAACTCGGGTCCTCCTGAATCCAGGGCTAGTGCTCTATTCACTGCACCACCTAGCTGCCCCCTCATGGGAACTTTAAAGAGAGCACTGGTGAGTGATTGCAGAAGCCAGGTGGCTATTTGATCGTAGACGTAATAGAGAGGAGTGAGAAGAGGACGACGTGCAATGGCTTTCTCAAAGAGTTTACAAGGGCAATGAGGCCCACAGGATGCTAGCCAGTGGGCTTGCTTGGACCAAATGAGGATTTTCTAAGAACAGAGGAAATGAAGGCATGGTTGTAGGCTGCAGAGAATCAGATAGTTGGCTGGGAAATTGAAGATTTGTTGGAGAACGGAGCCGATAGAGGAAACAATCTATCAGAGAAGAAGGAAAGGGATGAGAGCCCTCGTGTGTGTCGAGGAGCTTGCCTTGGGAAGGAAAAGAACTACATCCTCCTGTGAGACACAGGTGAAGGAAGGGATCCTGAAGGGAGATGTCTGAGTGATGTGAGGAGAGGAGACATGAAGAAGAGTGTCCTTGAATTCATTCCTTCACCAAGGCCCTCGACTTTGTAGAGTGACAGAGTCAAAGACCAGCTGAGAATACAGCTCAGCTCCTTCCAAAGCCCACAGGTTCATTGTCACCCAGGAGCTGATGTCCAAGAACAACATAAACACTCGAGTATGAAATGACAAAGAGCGGCCAATGGGAAACTCTTGGGCCTTCCTGGGGGTGCTCTTTAGAGGAGCCAGCTGACTAGGAGGAGAAAGGCCCAAATCCAGAGGTGCTCCCCTGGACCCCTCCCAGCCCCACACCTAGGCCTCTGTTTCCCTTTCCGCTTGTCCCTTGTATGAGTCCTTGTCTGTCCTCTGCCCCTACTAAGCTCTAATCTGCAGCCCTCATCTGCATGAGGCGAGCCTCCACAAATGCCTGTTGAGTGAATGAGTGAGGGTGTGAGTGAATAAATAAAGGAATGGACGGGAGTTAAGTTTATCCCTCGGGGTTCTCTCTACCCAGATGTGCTGGAGCCTCAGGCCTTTGCCCTTTGGGAGTTCGGAAGGAATAGCTGACTGTTTGTGTGGAGGGGTTGGTGGAAGGATGGCATCAGACTCGGAAAGGGAAGGCTTCCTTTGATAGATCAGGACGATGGGGCAGCCCCGATGGTGAACCTTCTGGAGACAATGTCACATGAGGACCAGTTAAAGGAACTGGGAGCATTTAGGCCAGGAAAGGGACTGGAGAGACAGGAGAGCTATCTTCAGATCTTTGAAGGACATTGTGTGGGTAGGGTCTAGGGTTGTTCTGTTTAGCCCCAGAGGGTAGAACAAGGAACCCTGGGGCAGACTGCCGAGGCAGATTTAGGCTTGGGATGGGCACCCCTGTTCTAGCAATGAGGGCTCTCCCAAAGTGGAAGAGGCTGCCTTGGGATGGGGGTCTGCTCCGAATCGAGGCTCTGTTGACTCACTCTCAAGGACAAACAGAGTCAAGAATGTGCCCCTGTTCTCACTGTGCCCCTCCTCCTTGACCTATTGTTGATGGAATTGTCCCCTAAAAACACAGCTGGCCACTCCACCAGGACAAAAATGGTGCCACTTTTTATAAATTTCAAAATGATAGGAAGAAGTTTCTAGTCACAAAAGAAGTCTTGGGTTTTTGACTTTCCCCGTCTTCTCTAGTTCCTTGTACTGTGTTCTAAGTGACTGGTCCCCTGGGAAGTGATGGAGCAAACACCAAGCTTAGGCATGAAACGTTCCATCCAGGCTCTGGAAATCTCAGGCTGAAGCCACCCAGTTACCCAAGGGCTGCAGACTTAAGCACTGTGGAAAGGTCACCCCCACGTGGAGAGCCCTCAAAAGCTAGGCTGGAGCCCAGTCACCAGTAGCTTTCTGAAAGTGCATTTGCTCATTCCCGTTCCTGGGTCTGCAGCATGCCATCGAGAAGCCTGCTGGGCACATCTGTGGAGATTCAGGGTGGAACGAGGCCCTGGGGACTTGGCTTTCTCCAGGGACTGCTTCATTTGGAGGCAAGCTGTTCCTGGCTGTCCTCTGAGAACAGCAGGGTCTCTGAGGCAGGCAGATAAAAACCTAGAGTTGTTTGTTGCAAAGTGAGCACACAAAGACACTCTCCCAGGGCCCCCCAAATTACCACACATCAGCTCCTGCAGAGGTTCTCCTGCCATAGACAAACACAGTCAGGCAGGGGTCAGAGGTTGTTTCATCAATCAATCAATAAACATTTTCTAAGTACCCACTCTGTGCCAGGCTTTTTGCTGCTTTTGCCATAGCCCCGGCCCTCAAGGAGCTCATATTCCATTGGGGAAAACAACGT